ACTAATGAGGCGACACTTGAGAAGAGGATGTGAATGAGGGTGGTTGGGATGGGATGAATGAGGAGGTGAGGATCCAAGGCTGGTAATAAAAGGGGAGGTGGTAATTGAGCGAAGAGAATTAATGGAAATGTTATGGTAAAAATAGGTTGAACGAATCCGAAGAATATATTCCGAGGGAACTGCCGAAAAAAAAAAAAAAGACCTAGTTAATGAAATTTTTTATATACATCATACATAATTTCCTTCCAGAAAAAAAAAAAAATTATTATTTCTTACTTTATTTGCTGATATAAATAATCGGTTTTGAGAGATATATTTTGTACTATAGATGTTTATTTTACATGTAATGAATGTTATTAAAGTGTGTGTGTGTATATTATTTTTTTTTTTTTTCTGTGTTGTGTTCTGTTTTCTTTCCCAAGTTTACTGTGAAGAAATTGTCGATTGTAAATGTGTGTAATACATGTATCGTAAATAAAATCTATTATAAAATTTTTTAATAGTAAGCAATTATGTTGAGTCAACAATAGGGGTTGATAAAAAAAATTTTTTTTTTTTTCTTTTTTTTTTTTTTATGCGTCAATTCAGTTGATTATACTTAAATTGGATGAACAGATAATTTTACCCTTTGTTACCCGTTCTGGTTTTTACTCTTTTCCTACACTCATTATTTTGACTCACGATTATAAAAACTTGACAATTTCTGGTACAGTTGAATTTTCTCCTCACGTCGTGACCATTCTATTTCTTTCGTCTCTCGATTTTTTTTTTTTTTATTATTTTCTCTTTCAACAAAAAAGAAAAGTCTCTTTTATCCTTCAACCATACCTCTTTCCACTGCCACCTACTTTTACCTTGACCATTTCGAAAAAAGTGATTCCACGCACCTGCCTTCTTCGCCTCTCTGTTAAGCTTGGTAGTTACCTCGGTCCTTCTCTCTGCGATCTTGTTGACCTCGTCCCCTCTAATCCTTCCCTAACACGAACACGCTTCTTTTTTTCATTTCCCAGGCTTTTGTCGTCGTTCAAATTAGGAGAACCCGGGAAAAAAAAAACAAGGAACGCGCAAACTTTTATGACACGACGTTGATAAGAAGAGAGTTTTCCGAAGTGACCACTATTTATTAAGTGTTCTCAACATCATTACCTGCAAATCATCATACTTCAAAGTTTTTGATGCTCCTCTTTTTCGCGTAATTGTCATTTACACGGTAAGTAAGTTTCCGAGAGTTTGCGGTAGTTTACGTTCGTGACTCCTCTAATCTTACATATGGTGCATTTCTTCCCCTAACTCGTCATATTTTTAAACTATTTTTGTCCGATATCCTTCATCGTCATTACACCACGCGCCCTCACACCTCACATTTTCCGTTCGTCCCTTTTTAAAAGAGCCCTCTTCATCATTCCACCGATAATTATCTTCAAGTTTTTGTGGATTTTTTTTTGTATCCTCCATTTTTGGATCGATCTGATAAGTAGACTTTGATCTCCCCCTCCTATGGACATCATGACCGCTTTACTACCAAAGGGTATCGCAACTTCAGTTTCGACCGACGACCGGGGAATATTGCCTGCCTCAGATGCCACCTTGAGGAACACCTGCACCGCCCTCCTCTCACCTCTATATGCGCCGGTCGCAAAGTCCATTTCCGCGAACAACGCCGTCCGGCACCTGGAAAACACTAGCTCCGTGTGGGGACGCACCTCGAAGCCTCTCGACCTCGGCGATTACTTCACCTACGCCAAAAAGATGATGACCGAAAGTGGTGCGACCGTGGGAAACAACGCTGCAATTCATCATCCCTACGTCAACAATTCTCTCTACTATGATCATCTCGTTAACGGCGGTGGTTCCTTCAATTATGGTATCGGCTCAACCGCGGTTGAACAAGAGAATGATGGGGTCAACGAGAAAGGCAATGAAGGGTGCCAACAGCACACCCTCTACAGCATCGCCCTTTCCAAACCCTTGGTCATCCCATCTGCTTCCGCCTGGTCTTCCCTCGAGGATTTAACCACTCCAACCACTGCCACATCGAGTTCCGCCGCAACCTCGCGTTGCTCAACGCCGGCCACCAATGGTTGGACGTTCGTCGAACGTCCTCAGCAGGTTGACCCCTCCAAAGTGCAAGATCCTGCGGATGCCGCCGCGGCTCAGCAGCGTGATGTTTTGAAAACCCGATCATCGATTTCAAACATTCAAGCGCTCAAGAAACGCGCTTCAATGAACAGTTTCACCAGCAACTCCTCAGAGCTACTGCAGAGCTCACCGAGTGACGGCCACATTGCAGTTCCTCACCAACAACAATCATCCAAGGTTCGCCGCAGCAGCAACACGACCGCTGTCTCTGACACCACCTCCGAGAATTCCGACAAGTCGACCACCATCGAACTTGAGAAGGAACAAAAGAAGGCCACTTTGTACAAGACTGAGATGTGTCGAAATTGGGAGGAGCGAGGTTCCTGTCGGTTGGTGACGCAAATTTTTTCAATGTGGTGCCGTGCCCTTTTATCGTCGACTCACCCGTTTGTTAACATCTCTTCTTTTTTTTTTTTTTAATCAGCTACGGTAACAAGTGTCAATTCGCGCATTCCGAAAGTGAGCTGCGAAAAATCACCCATCACCCAAAGTACAAGACGGAGATATGTAAAACATTTTGGCAAAATGGCACCTGTCCCTACGGGAAACGATGCTGCTTCATTCACAATGATAAGAATGGTATCCTGAGGCGTAACAGTTCCGAAAATCTCAAAAACTCTGGTAAAAGCAATGGCAGCAGTAAATCCAAAGGTCTGAGTAAATTTTGTAGTGACCCGGCACTATACGGATCCTATGTAAGCGATTCCACATCTCCGGTTGGTCCCATACCGTCTTCGACGATGGCCAGAACACCGGAAGCACGATCCACCTCAAGCTCGGATTCCCTTCGCGCTTTCACGGATGCATACTTCTCGGGACAGGCTATTGCCAATCAAGGAGCCTCGGAACCGGTTGACGGTCGCTCTCCTTCCACCATCGGCAAGGATACCTCGGGTGCCATAGCAAACGTTCACCACATCACCCCTCCCAACAAAAGCATCTCAAATAGTAGTAGTAGTAGTAGTATTGTGTACGATCAGGAGAATTGCATCTTTGAAGACGATGAGGAGGGTGAAGAGATCAAATTCTCAGCGGGCTTGACCGATAAACCGTTGACATCGAATGAGATCATCAATGATTTTGGTTCAATCCCAGTCCCGCCGGACATGTATGTGGCCAAAGGTATACGCCCTCAGAATCGTCGAAGGGCATCCACGACATCATGTCGACCGGATAAGGCGGTCATCAATTCATCCACGGCTCCAACGACTGTCGTCAACAATGCTGTACTGAGAGAGAGGAGCGTTAGTATGAGCGTCAATGCCAACGTGGTACCCGCTCCAAGTAGCAATCTTGTTCCCGTCGTTGGTCACAACCGGGGTCGTAGATTGGCCATATTCCGAAATCTGGGTTAGACAGGTGATTTATTTATACAACTTACGTATGCACACGAACAAGCTTCTTTATTCAAATATAGACAAACACCTTCAGCACTACACATTGGATAAATAATGTTTGGATTCCGAGTCGAGTTTTTTTTTTTTTTTTTAACTTTGCAAAAAAACTTTCTTCCCTTTTTTTCTTTTTTTTTTTTTTTTTTGTAATTATTTTCTTTTTTTATTTCTGATTCTCATCTTTGTTGAGTGAAGGGGATCGATTCACATCATTGCATTTATGATTGAGTGACAACTACCATTATTTCTTGTACAAAGAGGTGGGAAAATCAATGAAGAACAATTCGGCCATTTCTTATTTTTAAAATTCTTCTCGCATTCATCACAATTCAATTTCCTTATCGTTATTTTATTCTTAAAAAAAAAAAGTTTTTTTTTTTTTTTTTTTTTTTTTTTTTTTTTTTTTTTTTTTTTTTCTTTTTTCCTTTTTATTTTTTCCTTTTTTTTTTTGGGGGGGTTTTTTCTTCTTTTTTTTTTTTTTTTTTTTTTTTTTTTT